AACAGCCATGTAGTTTGTTTCCCCACAGCTATGGGCTTGTTCATGATATTTGTCATGTCAGCTCTAAGATTAAAATATAAATGGTGATGGTTTTAATTTCTCATAGGATTTGCTTCAGTGTCTAAAAAAAAAAAAATCCTAGATCTCTAGTCAGGGGTTAATTTGGAGCATGGGGTTGCTTAATATCTTACACTGAGCTTTCCTAGCCCGCTGTTATGATTGGAAATAGCCGTGTGTCATAACACAGCTGGTCAGATGAAGCCTTTTTTGTTGTTTGTTTTTTGTTTGCCAGTGGTAGGTCTTTGGCTGTACTCTAGTGGCTGGGTAAGGATGCTTAGCGGGATCTTCCCAAGACAAGATGTGTAGCAGTCAACGTGAGGAAAATTTATCCCTTCCAAACCCCCAGACTGTCTGTATCCCATCTCTCCTCAAATATTAGCTTCACGTGCCAGGAGCATGCAGCCCTTGATGCACACGAGACCTTCTGGTCGTGCCTCCTGGCCCTGCGCTCGGCGCGGAGATGTTGTTTCTTTGGCGATTATGTCGTACTCTGGCAGGATGAAGTTGCTCAAACTCCCACGGGATATGAATCATTGTGGTATGACACATTCAGCGGTTCTCACGCTGCTGCCTCCGAAAAGAGGCAATACAACTTGAACTACACAAGCTCTAAATATAAAACCTTAAATAGGAGTTATTCTTCTCTGACCGTTAACAAAAATACTGACGATGATCAGCAGAAATACCCTTTGCCATACTGGTGTTGCTGAACTGGAAGGCACTTCTGGAATTGCTCAGTTCAGTGGAAACAACCTCAATCCCAGATGACTATAAGTCAGCTTTCCTATAGTGCTGCTTGGTGATGCTGCTTAGACTTTTGTGTACACAGCACGCTTCCTTCTGGAAACATCACACCACTGTCAGAAAAAGTGAGCTGGGTGAACCTGGCCTCCCTCTCTTGAGCATTCGGTTGGTTTTACTGAAGTTTTGGTTTATTCCCAAAGCAGAGAATTGTTCTTCACTGCTTTTTAAAAAAGGAAATTCTGTGGAGATCAACAAGAGCTTGCTTCTTGAGATAGCTCCATGTGAAAAGCCCCGTTGTTGCACCTTTTTAGAATCATTCAGTGAATAGAAGTGCCCAGGACAACCTCAGCTTTCCTTTTTCAGCCATCATATGCTTGTCCTAAGGTATGTGTGTTTAGCCACAGGTACCTGAAAAGAGCAGAATGAGCCTGAATCAGCAGAAACAGCAAGCTGGTACCCAGACAAATCTGGTCTGTGTGAATTGACGGTGAGAACTGCCAGCCAGTTATTGAGGAGAGAATTCAATATTGTAACCTGTCTGTAGAAAAGGTACATGCCCCAAGTAACCCAATTAGCACGACTTCATTTCAGGCCCTGCAGTGCACAGCACAGGACTGGGGAGAGCAGGAGTTTGTCTGGTGTACAGGCTGCTGCACAGACCGTGATCACAGATACTGAGATGGGAGAGGGGACTGACCTGGAGCTGCAGGCTCTGGGGTAAAATCACACGTCGCTCAGCGTAGCCTGCGACTCACGACAGCAGCTCTTCAACCAGCTGCTTTGAAGAGAGCAGCTCAGGCAGCCCCAGCCTCCCCTGCCACCCTGGGCAACCTGAATTCAAAGGATCACTGGACTATGGCTCGATAATTTTGTCTTTTGCTAATCTACCCGCTGTCTTCCTTCTCCAGTTACGCGGTTATTGCCTACGGTTGTGCCAGCTGCCCCAAGCTGACCTGCGAGAGGGACGGGTGCCAGACAGAGTTCTGCTATCACTGCAAACAGATATGGCATCCCAACCAAACCTGCGACATGGCCCGCCAGCAACGGGCACAGACGCTGCGAGTACGGACCAAGCACACGTCAGGCCTCAGTTATGGACAGGAATCCGGGCCGGGTATGGACTCACGTGTTTTTTGGTGTGATAGTTTCACTGGGCTAGCCCTTGGCTAGCAGCCAACACAGCCATTCACCCACTTCCTCTCCACCCCCAGGGG